CACACACACACACACACGTAGTACACCAACTCCATGCGAGGACTTTTTTTTTTTTTGTTTTTCTTCGTTCCTTTCGTTCCTCTTCATTTATTTGTTGTTGTTTTTTCTTGACGACAACTAAAATTCCACCCCGTGTTCCAATTACGGTTGGAGGAAAAAAAAAAAAAAAAAAAAGAGCAGACATCCATCAAGAAACTAAACGGCCGCACACCTCTTTAAATCCGTATTTGATGTACGTGCAACTATTTGTGTATGTAATTATAAAGAGCACATGCTCCTCCGTAATGTTCAGCAATAAAAAAAAAACAAAACAAAAAACTATTTTATTTTTTTATTCCGTTCCATCCCCTCCCCCCCCCCACGCCACCCCACTTGGGTTTTTTTTTTTTTTTTTTCGTCTTGCCTCCTTCTGTGTGTTTGTGTGGGAAAGAGGGGCGACTGGCAGGAACGTGTGCGATGACACGCATCGTGCCCACGGAAAGAAGAGGAGGGGAGGAGAATGAAGAGACAAAACAAAACAAAAAAAGTAAAAACAAAAAAAAGAGAAGAGAAAAAAGAAAAGAAAAAGAAAATCATATTGTCGTATTCCACCTGCGTGAATGGGACGCGTACCCACTCTTCTCTCAGCATCCACACAAACAAAAAGATACACACACACACAGACAGACAAACACCCTCCACGCCTTGTAATATATATAAATATATATATTGCTGCCTTTTTTCTCCTCTCTCTCTCTCTCACTCTCTCCTTCTCTCCCGCTTCGTTTCGCTCTTCCTCCCTATCCCCCATGCAGACTGCGCAGGTGGGGGCGGTCGGTAAACAATAGCGGTGGCAGGGCGGTGACTAACAAAATCAAAAACACACGCACACGCAAAAAACAACAACAACAAAAAAAACAAAAACAAAACATAAAAGGACCTCAGCAGCATGGAAAAGATGCACAAGGTAACGGGCAGACAGCCCTCCCCTCAAAGACACACAATATATACGCAGCCGTTTATGTCGAAGAAATGGAGAGGTCCAAATCCTCTTCCCGTTCAGCGCTGTTTTCCCCGGCATGTGATGCATCCGCCGAGGCGTCGTCTGCGTCTAGGGGGCAAATTTCCTCAACGGCTCTTATTACCATCTCCATCCACTCGACATCCCACGTCACGGGGTGGTGAAGCACTTCCTCTGCGGTCATACGCCTTCGTGGGTCACGACAGAACAGATTCTCCAACAACTCCACAAGACTCTCCGGGAGCTCGGCCTTTTCAGATCCCAAAAATGTTGTGTTATTGGTGGTTATGTACGTTATGGCCCTTGAGCTATCACACGTCATGCTACTCATTAATTTGCTTTCAAAACTCTCATTCCTACTAGAAGAACTCATTTTTTCCTTTGGTGAAGTTGAAGCCACTAGACGACGTTGTACAGAACCCTCACATTGTTTGCCACGGGCGTCATTATAGGCGTTTTTCATTGCCCCTAATATCATTTGAGCCGTCGTTGTACCAAAGTGGTGTTGTAGCTTTCCACCCTTGTGGTTGGCTACTGTGATGGGTAGACTTCCATCTTTGGGAATGGAGGTGTATAACTCAACCAGCGCGGGAAAGTGTAGTCCTTGAAGATGACCAAGACGTAATCCAATCACTTCTGCCAATAGACAGCCAAAGGACCACATATCACATGGTCTTCCATATGGTTCACCTAACAAAACCTCAGGTGACATATATGCTAGCGTTCCTTTCATGTTAACAAGGGGTTTCGCAGCGCATTCCTCAGCGGCGGAACCAAAGTCACCAATCTTTGCCACACCACCACTAAAAAGAATATTGCATGGTTTAATGTCGCGATGCACTATACCTTGTGAATGCAGATAGGCAATACCACTCGCGACATCACGCAAAAGAAGAACTATTTCTCTTGCAGTAAGTGGTTCTGGAATTTTGCCAAACTCATCATGATTGGTATCCGGTCTATCCCCTATCGTTCCAACAGGTTGAACCGGAAAGGATGCGCCATTTGACAAACGTGGTAGAGGCGGTTTATTCATTTGATTGCTTTCCGTGGCCGGGAACCCCCGATGCAGGCGTTGATCCAATGTCCCATCGCACAACTCCATGAATATGCAGTATGCGTTGTCCTCCATAGAGGAATGGGAGAAACTGACTATGTTTGGATGATCCATATGGCTCATAATCGACACCTCTCGGTTCAGCTGCTCCAGAAAACGATGACTGGCTCCGTTGAGAAATAAACGCTTCATCGCCAAACGTCCACGCGAGACAAAAAGATACACCTCGTAAACATCGCCAAAGGCACCACCACCAATTTGGCGAACAATCTGATAACTTTTACGCCATCGAATTTGTATCATCTCATTCTTTAGCCGACGCTGCCGTATATAATGGCTCACATTCTGACCAATGGTAAAATTCGTAAAGATTTCCCCAATTTCTTGCATGCGTAGAACCGCCTCTTCGCGAGTTCCTGGCGGAAGTGGGAGACTGTACGCATCGTCCGTCAATAAGTATAATATCGTCGTCTGTTTTACCGTCTCCGAGGCAATGAGGTCACGAATATCCGGAGTCACCAGTTTCTCTGACCACTCAACAAACAACACATCAAAGGCGTTCATTCCAATACTCAGATAACGTTTCATGACTACCGGATCTGAAACGACTGTCGCTGAGTGTCCTCTACCCCATAAACTCTGCAGGAAATCCTGTCGATGCTCTTTCATGTACAAGAACACGTGAAGGTATCGCTTATAACTACCGCCAAGTTTACCTCCAAGGGGACTGGTACAAGAAGTGCTTGTCGCCATGGCGTCACTCCCACTGCGGGCCCAAGATTTACCAAACATATTATCCACCCGTGCCAAAGCAGAAACAGAAGGCCATTCGTTAGGCGGTGCTTGGTTGACATCATATCCGGACTTTGAATCCTGTGCTATCCCCAATGTTGGCGGGTGCCCATTAGGATCCGTCGTTTTGGATTGACCACCACCAAATACTTGAGGCAAACGCGTCACACTCCCCGACGAGGATCCGGATAACTCTTCAAGAGGTTGCACTAAAGGAATACCAAAAAATCCCGCAATGCTGCTGTTGCAATCTCCTTTAAGTCCAGGATCAACCTTTAAATTCGTCGGAGCACTTAAGGCGCCTTCTTCTGCTCTCCATGTAGATCCAAATTTGGTTCTGCGCACGGCTTCACTAAAGGCCTCCTCGGCTGCTGCGTACTGGTGTAAATGAATCATCTGTCCGCTTGATTGCGCTGCCGCATCCTCCGTCAGGGCGTTTGTGGCGGTCACACCAAACAATGAAAGTCCTCTGAGTGTAGAGAGTTGCAACGTCCCGGCCTCCTCCATGAGTGCCAGACGTTCTTGCGTGGTGTATGGGAAACGCAATGTACATCCATTTGCTGTAAGGTGAATGGTGGCGTCACAAACACGCAGATACTCCAATAGATTCGCTGAAAGAATAGAACTAATCCCAATATCATTTGTGGCATGCACTCGACTCCCATTATCACTTGGGGAAAAATCAAGTGACGATGAGGAGTTTTCATCATCCCCATGTCGAAGACCAACTTTCATGAGAGGTACATTTTCCAATGCCTTCAATTCAAGAAGAATAAACATATTTTCAGCATCCACACGGCAGTTGACACGTTTATATCGCTTCAAAACACGATTAACAAATATCATGAGGGCAACAAAATTAATTAGAAATTTCTCTGGCACACGCGACGTGAGTTCCACCCCACAAACAGCAATCAAACTATTCAACTTTTCACGGAGCTGCTGCGCTGTAACGTAATCCACAGCATGGCCTCGCTCAGCTGAAATAGGTGACGGATACTCCCTCAGGGTGGAACGCCGCTTTCTTCGTCGATGCCCTGTCGCTGCCGTCCTTACACGACGGCTACGTGGCAAACTGGCATGGGATTCACAATCATCCTCCGCGCCATCCTTCATGAGTGATCCAAAGGCATTTAAAATGCTGACCGTGCCAGAACTTGTTGTTGAGGGGCGTTTTTGTAAATGAGTACTGAACGCATGACCCATTGGAGAATTATCCATAAGTGTTATATGCGGCTCAAACTCCTCTCGAGAAACCGTGTCGCCAATAAGCTTACGAGAAATTTCCCTCGGTTCACCGTTGACCTCACGAATAAAAAGTAACACCAGGTACTTTTTATCCATAGAAGCTGACGAAGAAAACTGGTTTGGCTCACAAAAAGAGGATGGTAAAGCAACGTTGTTGCTACTCATGGCATAGACTTCAAAGCAAGATGATTTCTGCAGCAATTGCAATGTGAGAAGCTCCTCTAACCCACTTTCAAAGAGGCAACGCATGTCTTCCACTTTTTCCATATGACGCTTTTCAGAATGGCTCCGTTCTTTACTTGGAGGTGCTGGTACAAGAACAAGACGTCCCGGAGGTTTTCCACGCGACTTCTGCGGTAATGCCGGGAGTGAAGTCACTTTATCTCCAGCCCTAACACGATTCTTATGCGACGATCGTTTCAATTTGCGGTGCAATTCAAAGAGATTTTTAAAATCTTTTCCAGCAAGATCAACCATCCAGCGATATTGAAGCAGTTCAAGAGCAGAGATGCTACAGTAAACAATAGGATACAATTCTTTTGTATCCCCAGGCTTGAAACTTCCACGCAAAGTGACAGTATGGGGAACATATTCCACAATAATCAAAGGGCAGACGCAGTCCTGCACATTTTCTGTTATATGACGACAAATAGTTGCGCTGCGATCTTCGTGCAAACATGGGGAAAAATCCTTATATTTATCGGCAACACCACTTGGGGCATCGGTGAAGAGCATCTGAATCTCCCGTTCTGCCTGCATGCATAGATAGCGAATTGAACAATCCTTGTCACTAGTCCCATCATCATCAATGTCCATATCTTTACCCGGTCCAAGCGATGATAGCTGCATCTCTTCTTCACTCTCCACTATGTCGGCAACAGCAGTTTTGGACCCGTGACCTTCACGCAAACTCACCAAGGATGCACCGAATGCTTGGTAAAGGCTGGAATGATCGCGTTGGTACTCTTCCAGGATTCCTCCGTCATAAGTTCCACCACACAACGTTCCTCCATATCCCTCATAACGCCAAGGTAAGGAGGGGGGTGATGTCGATTGGGGGTCCTTTTCAAATTTAATCGAGCTTTGCAAAGCTAAAGTCATGCCATTTTCTTTATCATCGCTATCCTCTTCGTCGTCCACATGATCGGCATCGGAGGTGTTTCGACCAGTCGACCGCAGAGACACGGCCCCTTGCATGAAGAGTGCCTGTAAGACCGCAGCATAGGCAAGGTTGGAGGTTGCGGTGGAGTGTATGACGAGAAACGCAAATCCCAACCCCAGTCCCACAAGAAACTGAATAGCAGAAAAAAGCATACAAAGTGAATTCCCGTCGACATATGAGGGAATCACAGCGGTACGGTTGACTTCCAAAAACATACTGAGGCTTGGGCCCCGCATCGCGTGGAGCCCAAATAAGATTTGAACCACCGGAAGACCAATTATTAAACTGAAGGCTGCCATCATACAACGTAACCCGGTGGTAGACAAAATAGCATTCACATTAAATCCTAACCGCCTAATTGGCCCAAGAAAATGGCCTGCTGTGTGGCACATCCTATAACTGTTATGCCATTTCGAACCGAGTGTCGTTTCACGGATGTGAGCTCCTTCTACATCAGTTGCTGCCTTCCTAATGGCCACTACAGCCGAATTATCTGTAGAAATCAATTTTTCATCACTGCGCAGCTTCAATATCAATTCCTCCAATTTGGCAATGACGTCGTCCAGCGCTGCTATTAGTTCGGACAGGCGAGTTCCAAAGGCGTCATCAGAAATAAAAATTTCAGCACACGCCTCCCATCTACGCAGCACGGCAAGCAACTGGTCGGACAGTTGACTATCTTCCCCGGTCGTCTCAAATGATCCCTTATACAGACTATGGAGTCGTCGCATTGCGAACACCACACGTCCCTTAAAGAAAATGATGCCTTTAAAGAAATCCTGCGGCGAGAGCACAGTGGCGACAAAGTTTCCATTTCTACGCGCCATTATTTGCTGCATGGAGATCATGGGACGCTGAACGCAGTGAGATTCCACCGTTGCCGCAAGAAGACGCAACCCTTGCACATCAAAAAACAGTGTGGTGAGACTGTCCATGATGGCATCACGCCGCAATGAACTGAACGCAAGGGCAGTGAAATAAGTGTTGGATTCTTGCGGCGTGTAATTGCATGCCATCTTCCTCGCAGTCCGAATGAGAAGTGGAGTGGCGTGTTCCACAGCAGTAACGGAGAAACAACAAACCCTAACAGAAAATATGCAAAATCGGATGCGGCAGCAACACGATGGTGCGCACGGGAAATGAGAAAATCTAAATACTTCTCCCCCCCGCCGCCGAAAAAGAAAAAAAGAAAAGAAAAAACCAAACATGCATTTGACACAAGTGAAAGAAAAAAAAAATGACGCACATCGGTACCGCAGAAACAAAATAATAATAATAACTTTAATAATAATAATAGCTTTAATAATAATAACAACAATTAGAAGAAAAAAAAAACAAGACGAATAAAATTCCCTCTGCGGATGCTAACGGTACGGATTCTTTTTATTTTTCTCACTCTCCATGTATATATGTATATATACGTCTTTGTGAATTCCGTTTTTCTCTCCCCCAGTTCCTCTCGTTAAGTGGTGGTAAATAAAATTGTGAGTACTGCAATGAATCCCCTGCCCGAACTAATGTGCACGAATGAGGAGGTAAAAGAAATCTGGGGAGGGCACACACACACACACACACACGGAAAGAAAACCAACTAGCCAAAAAAGGAAAAAAAAAGGACCACATTCCAAAACACAACGGACGTCACACAAATGCCGCCGAATTTGTGTTCTCTTCGGTATGAGATGGAGAAGAAGAAGAGTCATTGATATCCGTGGTCTCTTGGTGCTTTTTCTTTGGTCGTGCCACCTTTCGTGGTGCACCAGGCGCTTGAATCACCGATTGCGCCCTCGCTTCAGCCTTGTTTGCCGTGGATGACAAGGACGCGCCCAATGCGGTTCCCAAACCTCCTGCCTGTCGGATGTCAGCATCCACTGGTGGACGCAATCGGAATCTTACGGTGCGGCGGGGACGTGGTGCGCCGCGGTTATACTGCAACGCCTGGGCATCCTCTCTCGTCATGGACTGCACGGCCACTGGACCCACAAGCGACTGTTTTTGAAGATCCTTTTCATCCGCATCAAATGGCAGGGTTTTATCGCCAGATAACGCGTACTCCCGCAGAAGACTTTGTGAGTCAGCGAGGCTTAAAACCTCAAAGGACGCCTCTGACGGTGCATTTCTGCTCAAAGAACTTCTTCCGTTCCCGGTCTTTCCCTCGTGTGACGTAGCCTGATGTCGTGTTTCCTCCGTTGCCATGGCTACCGAATCCGTCAGGTCATCCTCACGGCTGGGTGGCATCGGTGGCGGACGCGGGTAAAATCGCTTGCGAGGGGCAAACGATGTGCGGATTTCAGTCTCGTACTCCTCTGGTGGGGGCGGTAGCGTGTCAACACGGCGACTGATGACGGTGGCTTCGTCTGTCTTCTCTTCACTCTTCCCTCCTTCTTGTGGTCGCGGCGATTTCAAGGAGAATAACACATCCGGAAGAACAAGGCGCGCGGACGAGGCAAAACAATCCTTTGAGACATCATCCACAGAAAGAGTGAAGTGCTGTACCCAGTCCGGGTCTGTAATGACGGAGGGAACAGAAGAGGACTCAACAGAGTTATTCGCATCAGCATTATTGCCCTCCTTCGCTTGTTTGTGTAGCTTGTGCCCCATCACAAATTGATCGTATACCGTAAGAACTTCTTCACGAGACACCTCGCCCCAGTCGCATGCCTCCGTGAACTGAAAAAGCGGTTGATAGGTGGCATCCGATTTGGCATCCACACCACGTTCCCAAAGTTCAATGGCCTTGTACAAATCCTCACCCTCAAGCTCTTGCCCTTGTTTTTCTCGTGTCATTGGCATAGAGGCCGCGTATTCAGGGCTATTGGAGACAATGTCATCTAACATGGTCGCAGCTGCAGGAAAAGTGTCAAGCTCCCGTGCCTCGGCAATCTTCGCAGCTTGCCTTACTTGCTGAAGGATGTCAAGCTCCATTTTCGCCAGAGACTCCTTTTGCTCTTCCTTGCTATATGGCACCTCAACAAAGGCGTACACGGGACGACGAAAAGACGGCTCATGCGCCGGCCTCCCCTCCGCCGGCCGCCACCAAACGTTTAACTCGCTTGTGCTCGTAACGTCTGTTGGGCGAAGAAGACCGTTCTTCTCGTAGTCCCATCGGCTAGCAAGCAAAGGGTGCGTCTCCGCGAGCGATGGAAGTCCTCCTGAACTTGTTGTCGCGTCTCCTACAGCTCCATTTTCACTCTCGTTCGTGTGCTGTGGAGATTGCGGCTGGTGCAGAAGAGAGCAGCGTGGGCAACCTTTATCGGCCACAGCGCGATCCCGCACGGATGCCTGGTAGTTCTCCCCGCATGCGGTACAACGCCACCACACAGACATTTGACTGGTACACGGTACCGAGCTCACATCCGCATCGTTCAGCTCCGGCACCCATTCGTCAACCAGATCGGGACGAACCACCGCAAGACGACGAAGCTGCGGCTCCCTCTTACCTATGTTCCTACCCCCCTCGCTGCTTGCGACATGGCTCGTCGATACACGTCGCACTGTATGGCCATGATGCAACGCCAGCATACACGCCACTCGATGCGGGTAATGTCGAGCGAGGTGCCACCATGTACTCACATAGTGGATAGGGAATCCGCCCACACCACCAGTGCGATAACGCAGCATCGCCTTTCCCTTTTTCCTTTTTCCTTTTGTTTTGCCTTTTTTTTTTTCTCCCAATGGCTTCTTTCCTCTCCTTCCTTTTTCACACAAAAAAAAAAAAAGGAAAAAGAAAAGAAAAAGCAATATGGCTAACGGTGTTCACCCCGCAATGTGTGCTCCCGGCCGTAGCCATGAAAAATCTCCAGGGGATAAGAGAAGAACAGAATAAAAATAACAGGAATTCAAAAACAACAACAACAACAACAACGAAGGAATGTGACAAAATAAGAGCTCCAAAGGAACCCTTCTTCTCTCAATCTTCTTTTCTCACACACCCGCTGCACGCAAAAAAAAAAAAAAAAAGGACAAAAGAAAAGAGAAAAACAAAAAGCTCCCAATTTTCAGTCGTTGTTCTTCCTTTTGCTTATTATTCCTCATCCTTTTCCCTTCTTTTTAGTATCGGCGCAAAAGCGCCTTTTTCTTCGGCGCCGCCGTACGGTCTGTTCCCTGATTGCTTTTACTCGTTTTCATGGATCCGCCAAACCCAAATTTTCTCACGTTTCTCCTCTTTTGTTGTTGTTGTTGTCTTCCACGGCGGCGTTGTTGACGTGCCGCCTGCGTCTCGGCTATTATGTCCACATCGTTGACAAATGCAATCTCCTGCGCCGCAAAGTAGTCAAACGGCTCACCGTCTGCCTGCTCCACCGCTGTTGTGCGCAGGGCCTTCGCTCCATCGGCGGTCGTCACGTAACGCTCTGTGCGCATCCGTTTCGCCTGTGATCCATTGACGCCTTGCTTCTCTTCATCAGACCGTTTTGGAAAAGTGAGTGTGAGGTTGAAAAAGCCGTCTTGTGCCGCTCTCGCAGCGGGACCGCTGCCCCCCGCATCTGCCTCTTCCTCCGCTTCCATCTCATCACGCCGACGTGTGTGACCTGCCATGCGTGCCACCACTACTCTTTCCCTTCCCTTTCCTTTCCCTTGCGTTGCCATCGCTACCTCCCCCGACTGTATATTTATGCAAGAGCTGGGAGTGGGTGCTCGATGCTGAAGGCGTGCCTCAGACACCCATATCGGCACGGCTTGCAGGGGCGCAAGTGTGCGTGGCTGGACTGCGGCCGATCCACACGCCTCGCAGAGAGCCTGTAACCCTGCGACGACCATTCCAAGGGGCTGATAAACACCTAACTCTTGACGCTGTTTTTCCGTAACAACGTCCTGTAGAAGAAAGTAATAACGGCTTCCGTTTGTGTTTGGCGACCCAACGTTACCGATGAGTATTGTGCCTGCGCGAAGCTGCTGCATGCCAGCGGCATGGGTCGAGCGGGCGGCAGTGGAAATAGAGGAGGAGGAAGAAGGGTGCGACTGTTTCCCTTCTAGCGGTTCGTCTTCAATAAAGCCACCAAAGATGGTTTTCGTCATGCTGCTGCCAATCTCCATCATGACATTCTTCTCGATGCGCACAACAGTGCTCTCCGCAAAGGGCTTCAACCCTGAGGAGCGCAGCCCACCGCCCACGGACGTCGCCGAGAGTTCACCAACTGCAATACCAAGGCTGTTCAACACATCCGTTGAAGGGAGCTGACCCGTGCACATAAAGAAGAAGTTCAATGTCGCTTTCGGTCGCTGCTCCGCTGCCTGTAAAAGGACACGCACCGACACATCGCGTGGCTCCTTCGGATTTTGTCGATTAGGAAAACGAAAGTGCAACGTTGCCTGCATCCAGTAAAAAAAAACACACACAGAGAAAATGCCCTTCTCCTTTCGTCCGCAGCACTTCTCCCACTTCTCAGACTGTTGCCTCCTTGCAGCAAAAGAATAGAGAGAAAAGCAGATGCGCTCCAAGCACGCCCCGTTGTCGAACAAAGTCAAAAAACACAGGAGGCACACCATTAATAATGTGGGCGCATGTAGAAACAAATACATATATATACAGGGAAAAAAAAAAAGATGCCGCAATTTATTTATGCCGTCTACACGTTTTCTTCCTCATCTTTCAGAGACATCTCCAGCCGACTCACCGTCCTCGGTGGACTCTCACTGGCATCATGCTCCTCATCACGACTTCTCTTTCTATCATTCCCTCCCCTTGTTTCCACCATTTCTTCTCCATGAGACATTGCAGCATGCTCGCGTAAGGAGAACTCATCATTGAAAGGAATATCGGTGACCAGATTTTCTTCTTCAACCGTCTCTTCGTCTTGCTGCTCACTGCAGACGTCGCTCTCTTCATTATCACAGCAATCAGTTAGAGAAAAGCTGCGCGGCTCGCTGTGATCATCTGTCACATCGTCATCTTCTGCCTCTTCTTGTAATTCCCTAGCGTCCTGTTCCTCCTCATTTTCAACATGAATCCCGTTTGCATAACCATAATCATCTGGTGCTTCTGCTTCCACCTCCTCGATATCTGCCACCTCGTCTTCGACGTTCTTTTCTGCTTGAAAGCCCATCCCACCAATGTTAGCTGAAACAACGGCCTCTGTTTCGCCTCGTCTTTCAGCAGCTGCAATATCTTCCAAAAGAAGCAATCGAACATATGCCTCCCGTGACTTCCAGAGCTTTTGCCATGCCTCTATCTGCTTTTCCACCCCATTTTTGCTCGGCGGGCCCGTCT